TCCATTCCTGCCTCTCACAGGTAAGCAACTAAAATGCTTTAAAAATGCAATTGGTCTGTGGTACCTGTTCAAACATTTTGTGCCAAATTTAGCATGTCATATCATACCCTTTTGTTCCTGCCCTGTAATTTTTTTTTATTCAGATATTTCATGCTAAGATGTCAGTGTGTGTACTCATTACACAATATACTTTAATATAGTAAGTGAGAAAAAATTGAATGGCCAGATCTGATATTTCTCTTCTCTCCTTTCAGGTATGTAATCAACTGGACAATTACTTTTATATACCTCTACTATTGAAATATAACCTTGATTTCTCTTCTTATTTAATGTCCTAGTGTATCTTAGCCCTGGGCTCCGTTTTATTCTTCCAACTTCTCTTACCCTTCCCCCATGTTTGGAGTTGAGAAGTCACTTGATGTTTAAACCTGTTATGTTATTAAGTGCTTACCTGCAGATTATCATACAGTGGCAGGAGAAACTCTCCCTGCTGGCTTTCTCTTCATCCCTGTACTTGCTGTGAGCACTGCCTCCTTTTTGTATTGGAACATGTTTTAATGAGAAATGGTAATACATCGATCCAGTGATCCATGTATAGTCAAGCTAGGTTGAAAATCCCTTAGATAAATCTGTTTATTCTTGATTCATATCAGACTTTCATATCTGTAGCTCTAGAGAGGTTTTAAACTGTGTGGATAATAGCTGGGGTTTGGGTCAGGAGGAACCCAGTTTATCGGGGACTGCAAGGACTCATGTGAGCTAAAGGGTAAGGATACAGATAGGGTAGATTTGCTATTGTAAATGCAATTGTCAAGCCAGTTCACTAGATAAAGCAGATAAAGTTTTAATTTCAGAAAATCCCAGCTGCCCTCACTGCAGATCTCTGCTTGATCAAAGTCTGTGACCCAGTATAAAATGATGTTGCCTCAGTGTGTAGATGGTAGAACCTGTGGCTGACCCAGGTTTTACTGAAGTTATGAATTCAGCCAAAATGGGTTGTATTTTTGCAGTATGAGCACCATCATCAGTCAAGTAGAATCCCAGATGGAGGAGAGTCCAGGTCAGAGAAGAGGGAGCAGAGCCTACCAGGTATAAATGGCATTGTTACTTGGGTTTTTTCCCTTCACTCTAGTGCAGAGATCTTAAATGAACCTTGTCTAAATAGCACCTGTTGTCTTCAAATCTAGATCGTGTTTGTTTTAATAATAAGCAGCACAATATTTCTGATTTTGTCTTTTTTGCCTCTTGTTTTTGATTTTTAATGATGTCTTGAGGGGCATGTTAAAATATTTTTGTGAAAAATTATTTAGACACAAACACTGATAAAGTCTGCATTCAGCTTTATTTTTTGTTTTTAAAATTTTCAAGTGATCAAGGCACAAAACTACCAGGAAACTAGGAGGCTACAGGATAAGATAACGCTTCAGGAGGAATTCAGGTGTCACAGCAGCAAAGCAAAAGTTACAATAAAAGTAGTAAAATATAATGTAGAATACATAAAGTACACAAAATAACAACAACAACAATGTACAAAGTGAGTAAGTTAAAGTGTGCGTGTGTCAATGTACAGTTCAGGCAGTGGTGACAGGGAGGAGACAAGTGACCGGTGCCACTCAGCTGTACAAGCAGACAAATCAGTGTGTATATCTGAGTTTGCTGGAAGCGGTACATTTTGGATTCTGATAGTAGCAGGGACAAAGGATCTGTGGTAACGTTTCTTCACACACCGTGGGTGGAGCAGCCTGTCGCTGAAGGTCCTGTTCAGGGCACCTGATCATATACTGGAGTGTTTCCTGAAAATATCAGAGAATGTTAAGGAAGCTCTAAGGACAAATGCTCCCCTCAGATGATTTTACTAACTGTCAAGGGTTTGGCTCATTGCCCACATCCTCTCTGTGATAATCCTATTCAGTGCACAGATTGCTGCTTTAGCGAGTGACCCTGGATGGCATCACTGTCTCTGTGGTGAACATGTGTTTTTTAGTAACCTCAAGCTAGTGCTGTTTTTATAGGAATAACTTAAACAATCAAGGCTGTTTACCTTTGAAGGACAATATAAACCATCAATCTCCTCACTGCTCTAGATCTTTCCTGAAGCCAATGTCACTGAAGAGTCAGATTCCAGCTCCTATCCTGAAGATTTTCTTTATAGCAGGGAGCGGCTCCCCTCTATTGTTGTGGAGCCCACAGAGCACAGTGAACTGGAGAGCGGGGACCAGTGTTGGCATCCAGAATACCTAAACAACTTGGAGGAGGAGAACAGCAGTGCTGATAACACAGAGGACTCTGTGGATGGACAGCAGCAGGAGGATGTAGGGATAGAAGAAGGGTAAGGACCCACAAATGGTTTCAGTCACTCTCTAGTGGGTTGAAATGAACACTTTTTGAGGACTGATATTTAAATAATTGATGCTGGCAATATTTTATGTTTTGAGAAAAAGATCTTATCCTTCAAAGACATTTTGAGTACTTATTAGTTTATTTAACTGTTATCTACTGACACACTTTAAAGCATCAACACAAAAAAAACTAGAAAAATTATTATTAAAATTCCATTAATTCAATTTCAAAAGGGTTTGCTGATTTTTCTATATCCTACCTGACTGTGTACATATCTGCATTTTGGCTGATGCAGCTTACTTGCCAGGAAGTGTTCTATTGGACCATCCCAGAATCAACTGTCTATTTCCCGGCTGACTCCACCTGCATCCCCTGTGCCCCCTGAGGCTGCCCCACCCTGTCTGAAGAGCTAACCCAGTACAACCAGTATGGACTGATACCATAGCAGTTGTGTAACCTTTTTAAAGTGTACCCTCTGCAGGTCTGACTGTTCCAGTAAAAGAGAAACCCACTGAAAAGGTTGAG